ATCCTCATCACTGAACCATCTCGTTTTCTCCTGCTTGCATGTGTGTTAACCATAATTTCCAGCCCTTAAGGGGAAATAAGCTAGGTATCTGAATTTTCATCAGATCTGACACAAAGTATTAGGCTGTGGCTTTTGCTCTCTATTGGTTTTACTGCATAGAACATAAATATTCAACTCATGTCATCTGATAAGGTTGCTGGGGAGGGGGTTTTTCTCTCAGAATATATTAACTTTCCTTTCACACCTAGCCATTCTTTCATGAGTCATAACCCCAAGATACAATATTTTCGATGGTGGCTTTAAGTCAAGTATATTCCAATGAGAAAATCATTCAGGTTTTACATAAAATGATTTACAAGTTCCTGTGGCAATACTCTTGAAATACAGCCTTTATGACTTCTCCTGGCCCTGCCTGGTTGATGTGTCACAGACCTACCTGCAACCAGAGGACAAAGATGGGTAGAAAATTCTCCCTATGCACATTCCCCAGCTCTTCTGAAGGTTTGAAGGTTTTCTGTTTAAGCCTGGTTGGTTTTGCTAAGTGTAGCTCCAGAAAATCCAGTTTGCAGACTCCAGAGCATTCCAGGGCAGCAGCAGCTGCCTTCCCCTGCAGCCAGTCAGCCAGCAATGGTTGTCTTGAAGGTTGTCCTGGTGAGTTCAGTCATAGTTTCTACCTAGGGTGTTTCCTCACATCATTTTGCCATTATCTGAGGGAATAGCTCAATCTCATGTCCTCTAACTGTTGACACAGCTCACCCAGATAGGGACACACTGCAGAGCTGGTCCTCACAGCCCTGAGATGGGTGGGTACCTCCCTATTTGTGGTCCACCCCTCCTTGGTTGTGTTGGTTTTCTGCATCCCACCTCTGGGCACTGGGGAGGAAGCTGCTGCCCTTCTGACTCCTGTTTTGGCTGCCCCTAGTAAAACAGTGCACGTGGGAACAAGCAGGAGTGATGGATGAGCATGTTCTTTCCCCTTGGAAGAACTACACAGGTTATTATGAGGAAATGAGGTGCACTGAGGGTGAAGCAGACCATGTCTCTTTTGTGACATAGGTATCGATATCATCTTGGGTTTAATTTACAGATTTCAGGGGGAGACCATGCATTAGATGTCAGGAGCACTGCAAATGCCTTCTCAGCCTCAGGCGACCCTTCAAGCTGCAAGTGTTCCAATGAAGCTATTTCAACCAGAAAGAAATTACACACAAAACGTAAGGAAAACACATTTGCTGATCTGTGATGGTATTGCATGTAACAAAGCGGGATCCTTGACTTCACTGGGATCAATTTCTGCACATATTTGTGTGAGTAGCATCATTGCACTCCACCAAGTGAGGCACTGCTTCAGAAAACACCAGCTCTTTGCACACCTGTTTGCACACCTGTGGTCATCTCTCCCAGCTTGCAGGTGCTCAGCATTCCTTAAATATTCTTTCCTCCAGTCCGTATCTGAGAGAAGCTCACCAACTTGGCTCCTTGTGTGGGTCATTTTACTTAGCCCTCATTTTACCCACCTATGCTGAACATCAGGATAAACAACCCACTGTGTATTTGCTACATTTGTGTATTTGTTGCTCACTTCCCTCATGGCCCACCCAGCATCTCCGGTTTTCTTGAGCACAACTACATGATTTTCTGTGTCTAAAATGTCTTTGATGGTAAGTGGAGTAATACCCAGGTGCATTCATCATGCCCTTCTCAATTCACCTTTCTTGGTTGGTTTGTTGCAAACAGAAGAACTTGCCAGTTTTCCTCCTCTTAAGCATTAAAGCCATATTAAAAACAAAACCTCTCCTTTGAACACTCTCTCTGTATAACAGAAATCCAAAATGGAAGGTGTTTTATTGAAGCAAATGGTTTTTCAACTCCATGCATTCTTCTGCCAGTTAGAGTGTCTGGTGTGTCTTGCTTTACATTTGCATTCCTCAGTGCTAATTTCAGCTGCCAGGCAGTACTGGAAGCCATCAGAAAAGGGGAGAAAAAAGGTAACCTGGTTCAAAAATGTACAAGAGGTTTTTTAATAATGTAAGTTTTTTAAAAAAACAAACAGTTTTACAAAGTCCACTTGGAAGTACTGTTATTTTTCTAGATTTCTTTGCCAGCTGTTAAGGCGGATGCTTCTTTCTAGAGTAAATACAAGGTTTTTATCACACCCTCCAAGACTGCAGGAGCTGGGTCTTTAAGCTGGCGTAGGACAGTGATTTTATGGCCTCTCATGACCCTGTTAACTGATGGCCCACATGTGCAGGTCTGTCTTGAGAGGTGAGACCTTGGAGCATAGTACATCTTACCCTGCCTAAGATGCATCTCTTCCCAATGCTGCAAACCTGGCTGATCAGCCTGTTAACCTGCTGAAATTCCTCTTCAGTAGGTGCACCGATGGCTCTTCATATTAACTCTGCTTTTATGTATTCCTGTAAGTTTGCAGCTGTAGTAACAGCTTTGCTTTTAATAATTTGCCTGTTTCAGGAAAAGTCTTTTGTCGAGTGGAAAGCATGAAGAAGCCCTCGTGCTGAGCGTAGGCGGGGGTTAAGTTTCATTCTACCCTAAGCTGACCCCTGGATAGAGAGATTCCTGCTTTAGTCTTTTAGATCATGTGTAAAACCTGATGCTGGCTGGGTCATCCCGCATAAGGCAAGAATATCTGGGGAGCATGGGGAGGAGGTATGGAGTGAGACATTTGCAGAAGGGAATGAAATGTTTGGGATGCAGCCTCATGCTTTCTACAGCAGTGAACATCAATCAGACTTTCTCAGAAAAGCTTCAGTGGTGCTGAAAGTCTTCTTTTCCCCTCCCCGCTCGCTTTTTTTTTCCTTGTTTCTCTATTCCCAACTTCTGTTTGTTCTCTTTTTCTTCTGATACACTGTGGCATGTGCAATTTTTGCTCAGGAAACTAATCATTGAAAACATAGAGACTTCCCTGGTTTTAGTCCTTTCGCCATTGAGTAAGCCACAGTTATTTTTGTTCTACCGATGATTTATGACTGAACAGATTTAGAGTTTATATTTTTAGGTTTATAGACAATTTAGTTAATGTATATTTGTGACCATAAATATTTGGTACTCTTACAGTCTATCAATGAATGTTATGCCCAGTTGGAGAAAACTGTATAAACTAAAGAGACACAAGCATTGTATTCCTAGCACAGCCTCATGATTCTTTTCAAGTACCTAATTAGGTAATCCGTAAAGGTAGCAAGAGTTTGAGCATCTGTTGGTAAACCATCTAATAGGGTGCCATCCAGAGGAAATAACCTGCTTTTCATAAGTGAACCAATTCTCCACAAGACTTGGAGTAAAATGCAGTAGGATCATTGCAGAAATGCTCAGAAAACATTGAACTTTTTTTACCAGGAACAGCATGCTTAGAAAAATAACCATCTCTCTCATTTGCATTGTGTTTTGGGGTTTTTTTTCCCACACTTTTTTCTGGAGTCATAAACAGGCATAGCAGACATCTCTTGAGAAACCAGATTTTTTACTAAAGAGTTAATTTTGCAAGTTTTTTTAAAAGATAAGAGTAATTTTTTAAAAAATCTAAACTTTAGGGGGTTATTTTTCTCTTCCTCACCTCTCTCTTTATCTAGCTTTAGTTTGTGTTAATTCTGCAGACACAGCCTTTGCAGTGATCCTGTGAAGACAGATACATGCCACTGCTTGTACTGCTGCTGTCCCCTTCTGTTCAAAAGAAAACCATCTTCCTTTCCACTCCCCGTTGCCAAGTTCACTCAAGTAAATAGTAGTTAAGCATTCCAATGTATTTTCCAGGAAAACAGTAAAGTGTTGGGCACTGGCAACTCAAAAACCTCAACTTGAGAACCCCTGTAGCTTAAAGCTAATTACTTCTCCTTCCACAAGTATTTCCTCCCCAACTACTTCAGAGTGTGACCGCTTCCTTGATAGATGGGGGAAGCCTTTTCCGGAGTCTGGGATTGGGATTGTGCACACTGTGGGATCTGGGCTGTGTGCTGATGCTGGGACTTGGCTGTTGGGGGTTCCACCCCCCCACCTCCAGCCCCCTGGTCCCAGCCCTGCTCTCACCAGCCTTCCCCATCCCAGAGTGCCTCCCCTCCAGGGACTGAGCCCAGAGCCCCTTGCACAGAGGTGGCAGCACAGTGAATTTTCTGTGGGCAGATGAACATTTCATTCTCTCTCCAGTCTTCTTTTGACATGGACTGGCGTGACAGGTGGCTTTGCTTCAGGGTGGCGGCAGGATTATGGCACACATCACATCAACCCAGGGATACCAAATTACACTGATGGTGTTTCTTCTCTGAAGCTCCCCCGAGTAAAGGAGAAACAAAGGAGCACATTTTGTGTTCCTTTAAATTCCTTGATAAAATCAATGCAAAGCTTTGACAAAAGCCAGTGTTAATTATTATTTAAAGCCTACTAGATAAATTTGCTGGGTTTTTTATAACTCCTTTCTGGTGTGATGTGCAGTTTCATAGAACCACAGGGTGATTTAGGTTGTGCTTTAAAGCTAATCTGGTTCCAACCCATCTGCCATGGGCAGGGACAGCTATCACCAGACCAGGTTGCTCAAAGCCCCATCCAGCCTTGGCCTAGAACACTTCCAGGCATGGAGCATCTTCAGCTTCTCTATGCAACCTACCCCAGTTCCTCACCACCGTAGCAGTAAAGAATTCCTTAGTATCTATATGTAACAATGCACATACCTTTAGTGTGATCTGGTAGAATAGATACAGAAATGTTCGTTTATCTGTTTGGTAATTCTTTTCAGGGTCCTCATGCTATACAAATGAAAGGAAAACATGGTCTTTGTAGGAAGTTACCTACAGCTTAAAGCTTTGAGGAAGTGTGAAATGGACATAAAGTAATTGTGATGTTTGTCGTAAAGACCTTTTATATTTGAGAAAAAAAGATGCCCCAGTGTGTTTTTTAGAATCAGAAGGAAAACAACAAAGAGGCGTTTGTGAAGATTCAGTGCTTGATTTTTTTAACTCTTTCCTTTATTTTATTTTATTTTATTTTAGGTTACTCCAACTGAGTTGCCAGAACACTGCCCTACAGAACTTTGGAGGGTCACTTCTTAATGGATTGCTGCAGCCTCTTAATTTCTCCATTGATCCTGTTCCCTGCATCGTGAGGACATTTTAGCCAGCACAGAACCTAGAAAAGTTACATGTAAGTAATGATTCCAATTCCTTTCTATTTAAAGAAAAAACGAAAGAAAAAAGGGAAAGAAAAGATCTTGGGGAGGCAAGGTAGAGGCAGTAAATATCACACTTTAGAAAAACACTGTAAAAGCTGTAATTCAACTGCAAACATTAGGTGGTGAATAAATTGTTATTGAAGTAGTTACTTGCTTTTTTAACCTAAATAGTGATTGTCATTTTGACGGCTTTTCTAAGTGTTCTGCTACTACGGTAAACCATAGTGAGAAGTACTTAAAATAGCTCTGTTCATCCCATTGCTGTAACTACGCTTTGTTTTTCTCAGCAACGGGCTCTGTGTGTGTACACTTACCTCACTTACCTTGGTGTGCTCTGCCAAAGCTGCACATGCTCCATGTGAGCTTGGAGGCCATCATCTGCCCCACAGGACTGCAGGCACCCTTCTGTTTCCCCCATGATAAAATCCATATCCTTCTCCTTTTGGGTTCCTGGACTATTTCCCTTGGAGAAGCCCTGGTGCTACTTCATCCTTCAGCCTGCTGCCCCAAAAGGCTCTGTAAGCATCAGAAGTATCTTCATTGCTACCTCCAGGTGGAATTAAGTGCTCCACCTGACTGTGGGCAGTGTAGAGAAAGTTGTGCATAGATCTACTAGGGACAGATTGAGGAGACTGCAGATGTCTCCCTAACTTCTCAGCTGGGTAATAGTCCCTGGTGCTTGTTGTGCTTTGGTATTTCACCCAGGATGGGGAGCAGCTTATTGTCCTGTGCATCTATTTCATCCCTGATCCCACGATGACTGAGTCTTCCTTTGAAACATTCCATAGCACAGCCTGGCATAGAATCGGTGGGGAGAAATTGGTTTGACCCTTTGCAGTTTGTCAGCAGTTCTAACCCTAATTCTGGTTTCTGAGGCAGAAGAAGCTTCTGGACCACTATAAGGATAGCATGCATGTGATGGTCTGCAGAGGGTGAGACACCCCAGAGCTGACAAGTTTGGGAAAAGGCTTGAACACAACCCAATTTCATTTATTTTTAAAACAAAACCAAAACTCTTTGTGGTTAAGAGGTTTTTATATTTGGGATGGTGCTATAGAGCATCTTGGCAAAAGGAGGTAACACAAAATTGTGGTTCACAGTGTGGCACTGTGCTTGTTACTGCCCTTGTTTGTTCACTGCAGTAACAAATGCATATGATGCAGTTTAGTCCAAACAGGTCAGTGAAGCAGACCACTCCTTACTGGTCAGTTTTTCTTGAATGCTTGCAAATACCATTTTTAATCTTGGGAACTGATCTGTAATACTACTTCTAAAAAATCTGAGTGTTTTGGAACCAAAGCATTTACATTAGAAATACACCTTTATTTGAAGTACTTTGTCTGCTTATGTGACACTAAAGGATTTTTTTAAAACAAGAAAAGTCTACTGCAAAAGGAGGATAGTGTTCTTTAATGCATATGGAAATTCAGTTTTTTAAAGAGAGGAAATTTTTTTTGCTGGTGTGATGAGTATCAGCAAAAACAATGGTGAAGTCATATGCAGTGGAGAAAGTCTGGGTAGTCACAGAATTCACTGTCAAGGAGGCCTTACAAGGTGTGAGTTTGATTTTGTTTTCCAAAAAAGGGAGAGTGTTGCAATTTCCTTGAGGGTCTGGGATTCTCTGGTGCAGCTATTAATCAAATCTCCCTTAGCAGGAATCGTCTGACTACAGGAAATTTTTGGATCTGGCTTGAAATTTGTTTTTAGTGCTTGTCTTAAGGGAAGAAGGCTTGAAAATATGAGTTGTAACAGCTAGGCAGGCAGAAAAAACTTGTTTTTCATTAGTCCTACTTAGCACTATTCCCATGAGATTTGGAAGCCTTATTCACAATTTTTTTGCAGGCTTTTCTCATGATGTTTGAAAAGCTTATCATTAGGCATCTTGCAAATTCACTATTAAAAATAGTGAAATAGTACCAGAGGAACTAACTTCAAAAATATCATCCTTGTTGGGGGACTTGAAATAGCTGACAGAAATGGGAAAGAAAAACCCTCTCTCATTCCAAGAAGTGCATAGGAAGTTTTGTCTTGCTTTTTGTTGTGCTACAAATAATCAGGCATCTCCTTTTCAAGGGCGAACTTGAAAACCAGTGTGAGGATATAGAGTCATCATCAAATATGTGCCTTACCTTTTTTTTTTCTTTCTTCGTTCTCTTTTAACTGTGGTTATGTGCTTGAGCTATCATTTTTAAAACATGGTGTGCTCTCTAGCTCTTAGAAAACCCGTGCATCACCTCACAGGCTGTTGGCTGGGGTTGCACCCATCGTGTGGGCAGGCAGACATGAGGGCAAGCTGCCCCGTTGCTTATTTGATTTCTCAGTGTTTCCCATTGTCTGGTTGGTTTTGATGACAGACTCTGCTTGTAACAATTACCTCGTTATAGCAATTTCCATAGAAAGAAGTGGGCTTTCACTTGTTAATTATCCTTGCTGGAAGGAGCAGTTGCACAAGGTTGACCCAGCTGTAGCAACTGCATTCTCGTTGCTTTTCCCAGGGTGCAGTGGGATAAACAAGTATGCCTTACCCCCCTTCCATTTATTATTTTGTTTCTCTAATATCACTAGGATGCTGATTGATAAAATCTCCATAGAAATAGTTCTTACTGATGTGTGAGTTCAAAGCGGAATGCCCCTTGCTTGTTCTGACAGAGCATATTGCAAAACCCTGTTATGGAGCATGTGCCAAGATAGTAAAGAAAAATCCAGTTCTCGAGGTTCTCTGGGAATTAATCCTGCTTAGGTTAGATGAGTGTATTGCAATGTGGGAGTACAGCAGTCGGGGAAAAGCTGTGCTCTCTGCTGAGAGGCTCTCTCCATTTGTTACCCCAAACAGTCACGAATGACAGAGAATGTCCAGAGCTGTGTCTTGGAGCAGCTGCTGGGCAGGGCTGCTGGCATCCCAGTGGAGACAGGTGACTATTCCTTGCAGTGTCCATACCCTGCTCACATTTCTCATTTTGCTTTAGCCCTCCGTGTTTTCCTTTAAAAGCAGCAAAAACAACATCCCAATCAATGTCCTTCTGCATCTCAATAAAAGACCAGATTTGTACTGCTTATCCAATGTTGTGAATTCAGCAAAGGGCTAAAAGTGGTTCACACAGGATAAAAATTAAGGCAATCCAAAACACAGAAAGTTCTGTACAGAAATTTCATATTTGATAGGTATGAGTTCTTCACAGTATTTAAAAAAAATTTTTGAAATATTTTTTTGAAATCTATTCTCTGCCCATCTCTAGACGGATGTAAATAATATAAAATTTGAAATATGCCAGTAATGGTGGTTAAATGTCTGTCACCCGCCTACCACCATAGCCTCGGAAAAATGTAACTTTTTTAAAATCTGCACTTAAAGGTCAGATAACAGAATTCAGAAGAAAAGCAGATTTCTGAAGGCAAAATTTTATCACTTTGGACATTGTCTTAGCAAACAATCCTAACTATCAGTAACAAACCCTCTTCCCAAGTGCCACAACCATACCTGAGACACTGACAGGTTTATCTTACTGGATGAGAGATATGGCCACGTCTGCATTTCATTATTTTTCTGGTACATTTTCCTGTTCCATTTTCATAGGGGTGAAGGCACTTTCTTACCCATTTTATGGTAGTGGCATGTCAGGACTCTGTACCTCGTGCCACCAGTGTGTGGAGTGTCTCCTGCCTCGGGGACTTTGACAGCGTCCCATGGCATCCTGTGCACTGGCCACTGCCAGCAGCTCTGTGTCAGTCCCTTGATGTGATCAGGTGCTTCTCAGCCCCCTCAGTGCCTCTGTACCTCAGCCAGACTGGTGTGGGGACAGCTTTTGATACAAAAACGTCTGTTGACTAAACATCATTTTATCTATATGTGCAGATGTGCGCATATATATAAAAATGAAACATACATATTTATAAGAGTTGTATATATATAGATAGATATATATATGTATATGACTTTTTAAATAAAATAAGTATCTGGACAAATATATGGCCTGAGAATTGCTGGTGTGGCTTCAGGCAGGGCACCTCTGCATGCACAAGTGTGAGGATGGTGAGCCGGTGTCCCTTCCTGCAGGTTTCTGACCAAGACCCCGTGCTGGAGCCATCCCCACACGGGCACACACAGTGGCAGTGCCCTGCTCGTGTTTAGCTGTAACAGCAGCAGGGGACAGCGGAGTTGGTTGCAGTGTCATATGAACCCGAATTACTCCGACACCTCTCACCTTGCTGCCATTGACCACAGGATTGTTTGTTCGTCACCCCAGTGGTGCCACGGGCTGCGTGGGCGCACAGCATCATTGATCTGTTTACTCGGTGTTTCCCATGTGGCCGCCGTGTTGTGGCGAGGACTTTTTATTTTTCACTGTGGCAGGTGACAGCGCTGGTGTGTGTGTGTGTGTGTGTGTGTGTGTGTGTGCCAGCCCAGGAGACTGAGTCACAGCCCTCCCTCCACCCAGGGCCAGCGGCACTTCCCCTTTCCCGGCAGGGTGAGATGCTCATCTCCACAGGACATCTTACCAGCCTGTACATTGCATTTTTTTTTTTGGTTTTTTACAGAAAAACCTGAGAGATGGTGACAGCAAGACCAACTTTCTCTGTAACCCAAACCAGTGAAAAGTAAAATCCATCTCACCACATCAGTTTTGTTTTCACTGCTGGCTCAACCTCTCCTCTCCCTCTGGCAGAGCCCTGCACAGTCATTCAGTGCCCGGCTTGGGGGTGGTGTGGTTGTTAGCTCAGTGGTGTATGACCCATTTATTTTCATAATACTTAGATACCCGCGCTTCTGCGGCGTTCAGCACACAGGTCCTGCGACCTAGATCCTGGGCAGGAAAGCCCACACCTGATTCCAGCGGCGTGCGTGGAGAGCAGCCGGCTCTGCCCTTGCCTTGTCAGGAGCTGCAGGAACGTGGTGTGCTTCTGGGTCTAGCGGGCAGCTGATGAGCAGGGGCAGGTAAAGGTACATTTTTCTGGAGCCAGCACTTTGTCTTCG